TGCTGATTGCTCTATTTCAAACACAATCTGAGGGTACTTTTGTTTTCCTTCTTCTTCCTCCTCACTTTATGTATTAGACATCATAATCTGCACTTTTGTGTATCCCTTGACTGATTTATGTCTAGTTGATTTTTTTCTTTTTTTTTTTGTTTTAATTTTACACTTGCTTGGTAATTAATTGGTCTACTACCTCTACTGTGGGTTTATTTTCAGTGGTGAAAGCTATTTAGCCTTAGGAACATTTCCATCTACATTAGTCCCTTTAACATATCCTGCAAGGCTGGCTTAGTGGTGGTGAATTCCTTCAATTTTAGTTTATCTGGAAATTATTTAATGTCTGCTTCAAATTTAAACGATAATCTTGCTGGGTAGAGGATTATTGGCTGAAGGTCCTTCTGTTTCAGGACATTAAATATTTCATTCCCCTCCCTTCTGGCCTATAAAGTTTCTGCTGAGAAGTCTGCTGATAGCCTGATGGAGTTTCCTTTGTAAGTATTTTTTCTCTCTCTGGCTGCTTTCAGTGATGTCTCCTTGTCCTTGATCTTTGCCATTTTAATTATGATATGTCTTGGTGTTGTCTTCCTAGGCTTCCTTTTTTTGGAAGATCTCTGCTCTTCTGTGACCTGAGTGTCTATTTCCTCCCTCAGATGGGGGAAGTTTTCAACAATTCTTTCCTCAAAGAGACTTCCTATGCCTTTGTCTCTCTCTTCTCCTTCTGGTACCCCTATTATATGAATATTGTTGTGCTTGGATTGGTCACAGAGCTCTCATCATTTTTTCATTCCTAGAGATCCTTTTTTCTCTCTGTTCCTCAGCTTTGTTGTGTTCCTGTTGTTTAATTTCCATCTCATTGTCTTCTCTACTTGCAGTAATCTATTCTTTAATCCTCCCATTGTATGGTTCATTTCATTTACTGTGTTCTTCAGCTCTGAGTGGCTATGTTTCAGCTCTTCTTTCTCTTTCTTGAAGCCCTCCCTGAGATCTTGAATATTTTTCTGTATATCAGTGAGCATGTTTATGAGTTTTACTTTGAAATCTTTATCAAGAAGACTGGTGATCTCTGTTTCATTCAGCCCTATTTCTGGTGTCTTGTTCTATAGTTTTGTTTGGAACATATTCCTTTACCTGCTCATTTTTTCAGGATTTCTGTGTTTCTTCCTTTGTGTTAGATGGGTCTGCTGTGCTTCCTGGCCTGTAGAGTATGAAGGAGGACTAGAGGAATAACCAAATTGTCTTTTTCTTCTCTCCAATAAAAATATTATAAATATTATAATGTTATCTTGAGCTGCAAAGCTCAAGACTCTTTTACTCTCCAGTGCCTGGTTCTACTTTGCAGGAGCTCCAGCTGCTGTTGGTGTGCAGGGGGCAGGGCTGCCCGTTTGTCTGTCTGCAGCACTGGCAGTTTGTGTTAGCTGCCTTTGTGATCTGAGCAGAAGCCTCTGCTCAGATCACTGTGGGCTGGCGGCTCTCTACCTGCCCTGCAGCCATGGCAGAGCTTCAGGATTAATGGAGTCAGCAGGCCGATGTGCGGCTCTGGGGCAGGGCTGGACATGTAGCATCAGGCTTGGACACCCATGGGGAGGAAGTAGCTCTTGGGGCTGGCTGCTGCAGGCACCTCCCCAGTTGGGCTCAAATGCAGCAAGAAAGCTGGGAGAATCTCCCTCTGCCTGCTAGGCAGCAAAGTCTGATGCTTCTGTTCAGCTAAGTGCACTGGCTCTCGGCAGTGTGCACAGGGAGGAGGCTCTGGGCTGTGTTACCAGCAAAGGGGACAGAGCCTCTGGAGCTCCAGAGAGTTCTTGACCTGTTGGGCTGAGGGAGGGCTAGGAGGGTATAGTCCACCTGCCCTTTCTCCTAAGGAGAGAGCTCCATCCAACTCTTGCTCCTCTGGCACTCCTCCCACTGCTGGCCAGTCTTTCCAACTGCCACCTCTTCTTTGGGTCTCAGAACCAGCAGAGCACACCTGTCCTCCACAGGCAGCTAGAGTCTCAGCCTCTCAGAGTGTTGGAACTGTCCCTGGTGTCCAGCCCCACTAATCACTAGAACCAATGTAATGTGGACTCATGCTCCCAGAGCAGATCCCCAGGGCCAGGTGTTCAGTGTTCCTGGTCTCTTTTCCCCTCCCTGCTCTGTTCTCTTTCTTCTTCCTGTGGGCTAGGGTAACAGGAGGACTTGGGTCCCGCTTGATCATGGCTCTGCCAGTTTATTACCTTTTTCTGTGTGGTCTTCTCTTCTTCCCCAGGTGTAGGTGGTCTGTTCTGCAGTCTTCAGGTCATTTTCAGGTTTAGTTATATTTGCTGTATTTTCTTCTTTCATGTGAATTTGGGAGGAGGGTTCCACCTTACCTTCCTACTCTACCATCTTTTTCTCCCCATATATCTTTTGAATCAGGGATTTTGTTCTCTTTGGGTACATTCCTAGAAGTGCAGTTACTGGGCCATATGATACTTCTATTTTAAGCTTTTTGAGGAACCTCCATACTGCTTTTTACAGTGGCTATACCAATTTACATTCCCACCACCAGTGTAGGAGGGTTCCCTTTTTTCCACATCCTTGCAAACATCTGTTATGTCTTTTCTTTTGGATAGTGGTCATTCTGAGTAGTGTATCACTGTGGTGTTGATTTTCATTTCCCTGATGATTAACACATCTTTTCATGTGCCTATTGGCCATCTGTGAATACAGGATATACCTTCATTTATTTCTTCAATGGTGTGTGATAATTTTCTCAACAAAATTCTTGAACATCATTTGTTCATTACTTAACAGTTTTTGTGTTTGCAAATGGTGTTTTTTTCTTTATACTTTGTAGTTGATTTAGCTGGTTTTTAGAGATACCATTTTTTGTATGTTAATCTTCTACATAGCAACTTTAATGAATTCTTTTTAGTACTATGAGTTTATTAGAAAGTTTTCTTGGCTTTTTTATGTAGTTGATCATTCATCTCTAGAGATAGTTTTGTCTTTTCCTTTTTAATGTTTATTCCACCTGTAGTATTGAATAGCAAGCTTCCTTGATTATTCCTGACTTAGGAATGCTTCAATAGTTTCACCAGTGTTTTGAGAGTTATTTTTAGCCAGATTTAGGAAGTGCCCTTCTATTCCTCATTTTCTAAGATTTTTTTTTAATATGAATGAATATGGACACTTCTTGAATGTACTTTTGGTCTCTAATCTTTTTTTTTTAATCACTGATATCCAATCATATTGGTTTCAGATATACAACACAGTGGTTCAGCAGTTAACCTATATTATTAAATCCTTACCCCCTGTAGTGTGGTTACTATCTGTCAATGTAGAAAGATGTTACAGAATCATTGACTATATTCTCCATGCTGTACGACCATCCTCGTGACCAACTTTTATTGTGATTGGGAATTATTGTGCCCAAGTAAGGATTTTTTTTAAACTAATCTAAGACAAAATCTATAGGTAAGAGGTGGTGCCACATTAGCTTTCCAGCTCTGCTGCCTAGGGTACATGCCCTCCTTAAACCGAGTACTAGCATCACAAACTCAAGTAGTTCTTATTCCCAAATCTTGCCATAGGGTCATCCTATCCTCATTCAAGACAGGGAGGTGGGGCACAGGGAAGAAGAGAGGAGTAGATGCTGTGTAGGTCCCAGCAGGTTTGTCACACGCCCTGAACTTGAGTAGAGTGATTGCATTTAGGGGGAGGATTGGGCTTGGGAGCAGCAGTTCAAGTTCCCTTTTTTATTAATAGAATTAACTTTATTGCTCTGCTGACACAAAATAGTGACATTGACAAAAAAAAAATCAAAACTCATAATACACAGCTATAATAAAGAATGAATTACTGATTATTGTCCAATAAGCAGTTAAAATAGTAATTAAGATTGGAAGTACACAAGAAAACTGTCCATGCCTTGAAAGGGTGTTACCAAATTATACAAGAGTTATAAAATTTTACATAACATTTACAGAACAAGTGGTGGAACATAAAGAAACATTTCTAAGCTATCAAAATTTTTTTAAAAATCAACCATTGTACTAGAGGAATAACCAAATTGTCTTTTTCTTCTCTCCAATAAAAATATTATAAATATTATAATGTTATCTATTTATAATAATGGATATTGTAATATGATTATATTAAACTATAAAATTATTAATAAAGAGTAGTCACCAAAATAGAGGGAAAACATTTTACAGAGGTTTTTCAGGCAATTCATTAATAAAAATAGTATGCTGATATTCTGGATTTTGAGAAGTTTAAGGTATTTGTCAGTTTTTGAAATTTATAATTTAGCATTTCCTTTATCATCCATCTTTCATGAGCATGACAAAATGCCTAGCAGGCTCTGTTTTTTTCATATAAGACTGGGAAATAAATATGACAAAATGGTCACAGCTGTGCCTTCTGAGGGTCAGAATGGGAGTTTAGATTGTTATTTTTTGTGGGTTTTTGGGGTCTTCTTAAATTACTTAAAACACCTTTTTTAGTAATATGTTGCTTTAAAAAGAGAGGACATTACAGTTAGAGACAGATCAGGGCTCTACTAAAACTCTTGTACTTACAAATTCTATGAATGTAGCAGATGCTGTCCTTGATCTGAGCTGGAGTTTTTGTCTACAGAATATGCATTATATCACCAGTCCGTCCTATTACCTAGGTTTTATACCAGGATGGAAATAAGAGCTAAAAGGCTTTTTAAATTATAAAATAATAAGCATAGTATTAATTATTCCATTCACATTCATAATTTTAGAAACACTTTGTTGGCAGGGATGTATCTTATAATTTCCCAAAATGATAAAACTAAAGTAAACCTGGATTTTCTTCAATTCTACATAGTTAGTTTTGCTCTGAATCACAACCATTTATTCTCCATTTTATTGATTTGGAATGCATCCTAGGGAGAGCCAGATTATATATAATATACTTCAGTAATTTTGTGATGGGTTAAGATGGCAGCTGTACCCAGAAATTTCTAATGATAATCCTATAGTCACATTAGTCTTCTATTTTTTGTCTCCTTTCAGGTGAATGGTGATATTCCCCCTCGGTTAAAAAAAAGTGCACATGAAATCATCCTGGACTTCATTAGATCAAGACCTCCTTTAAATCCAGTATGTAATTTGACATACTCCCCTTGATTGGATATTGTAAAAAAGCAAACTATTCTCCTATGGTGTGTAATCTCTAGGACTCAGCTTTTAAAGTAGTTAGTTTTTACAGTGAACTTTATTCTCAGAGTGGTGAAGCCCAATTGTGAATTACATTCTTAAATCATAGAAAAATACTTAAAATTATTCAATGTAAGACTGTCTTAGGATCTTTTGACTCAAAGCAACCTGAGTTATGCTTCAAAATCTGGTCAAATACCTCCTAGAATAACAGGCAAATATAGTACTAAATAGTTCCTGGTGTGGATTGCCCTTCTGAATTAGTTTATGGTGTAGTACCCCTCAATTAAATTGTCATTTTGATACTATTTTACAGTAAATCCACCTTACTGTATATCCACTTATATTAATATTCTCCTGTTAACAGGTTTCTTTCTAGTGACCATAGAATATTCTAATCTGGTTTGAATGTTGGTTTGTGTTTCCTCTGTTCTTCACTTCTTTCCCCTGGCTTAATAGTCATTGCTCACAAAAACCTCTCAAACCTATGTTCATTAAATAATGAGAAAAAGAATGATATTTCTTCCCCTGATTGTATACATCTAAAGTGTAATTAATGATCCATGTTATAAATCTTTTTCAAAGAAAGGAAAGAGGCCACCTAGAAAATAATTTTAAGAAGGCAGGTCATGGTAGAGCAGAAAGAGCATGGAGCCAAATGAATCTGGATTTGCACACTAGCTTCACAGTTTAGTAGCCATTGTCTCTGCATGAGTTAATCAGCTTTTCTGAGCCTTTATTTCCTCAACTATAGAGTGAAAATAATAATCTTAGAAGGTTGTGATGACTAACTCAAAAGTGCTAGTTTCAAAACAATAATAGGACAAGTAAAATATAGCTTACATTTCAATTGATCACCTACCATATGGTAGCATATAGGGAACATAATTATAACTTCAGCAAAACTGAATCCTTATAGTTGAGTGTAATGACTAAATCACAGGTGAAATCTAGTTATCTCCCCAGTGCTTGAAAATACTTTTATTAAGCAGTGTTGCAATCAATAAATATAATTTCATGATGCTGTACTATATGACCAGACTTTAGTATAAGTTATTTAAGGACAATTACTCAAGTCTCTAGCCATTACATTTTTTTTTTCAAGGCCTCAGCCAGAAAACTGAAACCCACTCCACCACGGCCACGGAGCCTTCATGAAAGAATATTAGAAGAAATCAAAGCAGAAAGAAAACTGCGGCCTGTCTCACCAGAGGAAATTAGACGTAGCAGATTAGGTGAGTCAAGTGCTTACCGCACTCCTGGCCTAATCATCCTCTTGAGAAAGTGTCTCTTTACCACCAGCCCAGTGAAAAATAATAGTTTAATGGTGCAAAGTAAAGCTGGTCTCCTTTCCTATCTCTCCTTTCTCTCACACTCACATGCACACACACACACACACCCTCACATTTACTTCAAGTGTATACTGGAAAGTCATAGAATAGGAAATTGTTTCCCTATATGATCCTGAACTATACCAGAACATCATGGCATAATGGAAGGAGCTCTGCCAGTCTCTAGACTATATTTTTTAACTTTTCAGATCAGGGATTTTGTTTTCAGATAAATTTCTAGAAGTGGAATTACTGGGTCAAATCATATTTATATTTTTAGTTTTTTTGAGGAACCTCCGTACTGCTTTCCACAGTGGCTGTACCTATTTACTTTCACCCCAACAGTGTAGTAGGGTTCCCATTTCTCTGCACCCTCACCAACATTTGTTATTTGTTGTATTTTGAATGGTGGCCATCCTAAATGGTGTAATTTCATTGTCATTTTGATTTGTATTTCTCTGATGATTAGCAATGTGGAGCATCTTTTCATGTGCTTGTTGACCATTTGTATTTCTTCTTTGGAGAAGTGTCTTTTCAGGTTCTCTGTCCATTTTTTAATTGGGTTATTTGTTTTTTGGGTGTTGAAGCATATGAGCTCCTTATATGTTTTGGATGTTAATCCCTTTTTGGATGTGTCATTTATGAATATATTCTCCCATACTGTAGGGTGCCTTTTTGTTCTGCTAATGGTGTCCTTTGCTATACATAAACTTTTTAGTTTGATTTAGTCCAACTTGTTCAATTTTGATTTTGTTTCCCTTGCTCAAGGAGATATGTCGAGGAAAATATTGCATATGCATATATTCAAGATATTTTTTTATGATTTAAATTCTTAAATTTATTCAAGGAACTTGTAAAAACATGTCTTTACCATCACTACTCAAAGTAATGCATAATGTTATGACTTCAAGACTCAGTGTTCAGCATTAGAAGTGTTCATTTTTTTTGGAAGGACACTTTAGTTAGGAAGTGAAATACAATTGGCAAAAATATTTCACTCTTCTCTAGGTATTATCTGGCGTAGATAAATGCCAATAATCAATAATTTTCTAGTATGGATAAACAGTTTTTTCTTTTTCTTTTTCCACATTTTATTTAGATGCCTAGTGATTTAGACAAAGAAATACAAAACAGTAGGTTATTTATGGCTTATTTGGTGCATCAAAGAATATGTAATATTCAAACACCAAAAACCAAACCAAACCAAACCACTTTTTAATAGGATTAAAATAATTAGACATTGACTGGGCAAGATACAAAAAGGAAATGTGAACTAAGGTGGAAAGGAGAAAAAAAAATGTTTTCTAAGCTCCTGAAAATACCCAGAGAATACTACCTGCTTTCTGATCATTTACAGATTTTGTGTAAGTAACAAACAATAAGTAACAATTTTAGGTGCACCCAGTAATTCCAACACCAGTTGGGCTTTCTATTATGTTACAATGGTTATATCCTCCTGTTGTGCTGATTCCTTTATCAGTATATAATGTTCTTGTCTCTTGTTATTTTCTTTGCTTTGAAATCTATTTTGTCTGATACAAGTACTGCTACCCATGCTTTTTTCTCCCTATTATTCGCATGAAATATCTTTTTCCATCCCTTCACTTTTAGTGTGTGTATGTCTTTAGGTCTGATATGAGTTTTTTATAGGCAGCATATAGATGGGTTGTTTCTTTATCCATTCTGCCACTTTATTCTTTTGATTGGTACATTCAGTCCATTTACATTTAGCTAATTATTGATAGGTATGTACTTATTGCCATTTTATTAATTGTTTTCTGGCTGTTTTTATAGCTCCTCTCTGTTCCTTTCTTCTCTTATACTATTCTCTTGTTATTTGATGGTTTTCTTTAGTGTTGTGATTAGATTTCTCTTTTTTACTTCTTCTGTGTACCTACTGTAGGCTTTAGTTTTGTCATTACCAAAGATTCAAGGATAGCTTCCTTAGTATACAACAGCCTATATTAAATTGCTGATTGCTCTATTTCAAACACAATCTGAGGGTACTTTTGTTTTCCTTCTTCTTCCTCCTCACTTTATGTATTAGACATCATAATCTGCACTTTTGTGTATCCCTTGACTGATTTATGTCTAGTTGATTTTTTTCTTTTTTTTTTTGTTTTAATTTTACACTTGCTTGGTAATTAATTGGTCTACTACCTCTACTGTGGGTTTATTTTCAGTGGTGAAAGCTATTTAGCCTTAGGAACATTTCCATCTACATTAGTCCCTTTAACATATCCTGCAAGGCTGGCTTAGTGGTGGTGAATTCCTTCAATTTTAGTTTATCTGGAAATTATTTAATGTCTGCTTCAAATTTAAACGATAATCTTGCTGGGTAGAGGATTATTGGCTGAAGGTCCTTCTGTTTCAGGACATTAAATATTTCATTCCCCTCCCTTCTGGCCTATAAAGTTTCTGCTGAGAAGTCTGCTGATAGCCTGATGGAGTTTCCTTTGTAAGTATTTTTTCTCTCTCTGGCTGCTTTCAGTGATGTCTCCTTGTCCTTGATCTTTGCCATTTTAATTATGATATGTCTTGGTGTTGTCTTCCTAGGCTTCCTTTTTTTGGAAGATCTCTGCTCTTCTGTGACCTGAGTGTCTATTTCCTCCCTCAGATGGGGGAAGTTTTCAACAATTCTTTCCTCAAAGAGACTTCCTATGCCTTTGTCTCTCTCTTCTCCTTCTGGTACCCCTATTATATGAATATTGTTGTGCTTGGATTGGTCACAGAGCTCTCATCATTTTTTCATTCCTAGAGATCCTTTTTTCTCTCTGTTCCTCAGCTTTGTTGTGTTCCTGTTGTTTAATTTCCATCTCATTGTCTTCTCTACTTGCAGTAATCTATTCTTTAATCCTCCCATTGTATGGTTCATTTCATTTACTGTGTTCTTCAGCTCTGAGTGGCTATGTTTCAGCTCTTCTTTCTCTTTCTTGAAGCCCTCCCTGAGATCTTGAATATTTTTCTGTATATCAGTGAGCATGTTTATGAGTTTTACTTTGAAATCTTTATCAAGAAGACTGGTGATCTCTGTTTCATTCAGCCCTATTTCTGGTGTCTTGTTCTATAGTTTTGTTTGGAACATATTCCTTTACCTGCTCATTTTTTCAGGATTTCTGTGTTTCTTCCTTTGTGTTAGATGGGTCTGCTGTGCTTCCTGGCCTGTAGAGTATGAAGGAGGACTAGAGGAATAACCAAATTGTCTTTTTCTTCTCTCCAATAAAAATATTATAAATATTATAATGTTATCTTGAGCTGCAAAGCTCAAGACTCTTTTACTCTCCAGTGCCTGGTTCTACTTTGCAGGAGCTCCAGCTGCTGTTGGTGTGCAGGGGGCAGGGCTGCCCGTTTGTCTGTCTGCAGCACTGGCAGTTTGTGTTAGCTGCCTTTGTGATCTGAGCAGAAGCCTCTGCTCAGATCACTGTGGGCTGGCGGCTCTCTACCTGCCCTGCAGCCATGGCAGAGCTTCAGGATTAATGGAGTCAGCAGGCCGATGTGCGGCTCTGGGGCAGGGCTGGACATGTAGCATCAGGCTTGGACACCCATGGGGAGGAAGTAGCTCTTGGGGCTGGCTGCTGCAGGCACCTCCCCAGTTGGGCTCAAATGCAGCAAGAAAGCTGGGAGAATCTCCCTCTGCCTGCTAGGCAGCAAAGTCTGATGCTTCTGTTCAGCTAAGTGCACTGGCTCTCGGCAGTGTGCACAGGGAGGAGGCTCTGGGCTGTGTTACCAGCAAAGGGGACAGAGCCTCTGGAGCTCCAGAGAGTTCTTGACCTGTTGGGCTGAGGGAGGGCTAGGAGGGTATAGTCCACCTGCCCTTTCTCCTAAGGAGAGAGCTCCATCCAACTCTTGCTCCTCTGGCACTCCTCCCACTGCTGGCCAGTCTTTCCAACTGCCACCTCTTCTTTGGGTCTCAGAACCAGCAGAGCACACCTGTCCTCCACAGGCAGCTAGAGTCTCAGCCTCTCAGAGTGTTGGAACTGTCCCTGGTGTCCAGCCCCACTAATCACTAGAACCAATGTAATGTGGACTCATGCTCCCAGAGCAGATCCCCAGGGCCAGGTGTTCAGTGTTCCTGGTCTCTTTTCCCCTCCCTGCTCTGTTCTCTTTCTTCTTCCTGTGGGCTAGGGTAACAGGAGGACTTGGGTCCCGCTTGATCATGGCTCTGCCAGTTTATTACCTTTTTCTGTGTGGTCTTCTCTTCTTCCCCAGGTGTAGGTGGTCTGTTCTGCAGTCTTCAGGTCATTTTCAGGTTTAGTTATATTTGCTGTATTTTCTTCTTTCATGTGAATTTGGGAGGAGGGTTCCACCTTACCTTCCTACTCTACCATCTTTTTCTCCCCATATATCTTTTGAATCAGGGATTTTGTTCTCTTTGGGTACATTCCTAGAAGTGCAGTTACTGGGCCATATGATACTTCTATTTTAAGCTTTTTGAGGAACCTCCATACTGCTTTTTACAGTGGCTATACCAATTTACATTCCCACCACCAGTGTAGGAGGGTTCCCTTTTTTCCACATCCTTGCAAACATCTGTTATGTCTTTTCTTTTGGATAGTGGTCATTCTGAGTAGTGTATCACTGTGGTGTTGATTTTCATTTCCCTGATGATTAACACATCTTTTCATGTGCCTATTGGCCATCTGTGAATACAGGATATACCTTCATTTATTTCTTCAATGGTGTGTGATAATTTTCTCAACAAAATTCTTGAACATCATTTGTTCATTACTTAACAGTTTTTGTGTTTGCAAATGGTGTTTTTTTCTTTATACTTTGTAGTTGATTTAGCTGGTTTTTAGAGATACCATTTTTTGTATGTTAATCTTCTACATAGCAACTTTAATGAATTCTTTTTAGTACTATGAGTTTATTAGAAAGTTTTCTTGGCTTTTTTATGTAGTTGA